GTGAGTACCTTGATATGATTATGAATGTCAATAATTTGTGCTGGAAACGTCATCAGTTAATATTACTGTGTAACACTGTGTGACTTATCAGAATAAAATCTTATCTATATTAAAGCATAGTTTTGTTTAACATCCTCTTGACTGTTCTATTTTCCATTGATCACCTTTGTAAATATTCATCTCAATGTTCACATAATTCTTGCTTGATAGAAAATGACAATAATATTCAAATAGCAAAGCTATACTCACACTGCGCAGAATGTAGTCATTGTGATTCACTGACCTCGAAGACGAAATTTTCTGATTTTGAAACTGTACAACTTCGAAAATGATTATAGAGAATGTGTAAGTGCTTAACAAGAAGACATCTGTATATCCTGGTAATTTTAATTCTCATTAGTCTGAGAGAAAGCCATTTTTCTCATATTTTCAAGCTAGACAGACAGTACATGATAAAGTTATTTGATCAGCAAATAGACAAGTTATTGAATAGTTTCATGGTGATCTGATGAACACCGATAAGTCAACCCGTAGAAAAATTATTTGTCTTATACTTCACAACTACTTAAGAGACAGATTTTTATCTGGACTAATCTGTGTGACAGCTGACACCAGCCAGTTTCATTGATAGTGAGTTGGTAATAAAGTGTCTGGAACAGTTTGAACACTTACCATTCTTCTAGAGACGTTTTATAAATGAGCAGTACTTTGATACAAACTTTGATTTTTTCTGTTGCTGAATTAAATTAAATAATTTTTTTAAGGACATCGGTGATACTGATATAATGGTATGAAATGTTTTAAGTGAAGTATTTGCTTAATAACAACAGTTCGGAAAAACACACTGTCCACTAATTAATCTCAATTTTGTAACCTACCCATTGGAATCAAACGATATTCCAACTGAGAAATTTCGAAAAGAATCTGTAAACTTTTTGAATACATAGACCAATCATGGATTCACATGCCTTTTATGAACAGAGAAACCAGACTATTGCACTTTGATTTTGATAGTGAACACAATTTAAAGTGCCGAAGGTATATTTCTGCACCATTGCACTGTTAATCTACAAACTGTGTCGTTTCTGTTTTATTTTTTCTTCATTTTGAATAACTTTTTACATTACTGTCGACACTTGTTTTGTCTGCACTTCATATATTTTGTAATATGGGGATTATTTGCTAGTCATACTTCTTATGTGCCAGTAACCACGGTAGGAAGGCTACAACTTTGATAAACTAGACGGATAAAAACCCTAGATAATCAGATATCAATAAGATGATGCCTTATACTGTAGCATGTATAAAGGCTTCAAAATGTGTCTAAACTGCATTAATGGGCTCACTAAAGACCTCACTAAATGACGTGTGGAAATACGTATGTATACTCCTTGATGATTAGAAGAAAGTTCTGCGAAATTATTGGCCTTAATCACATCATTTCCAGCCTACTAGAATCACATACAACGCTATCACAAAGATGTCCCTGGACACCAGGGAAATAATTAAGAGCTTAAAATTCTGTCTAGAAAGTAATTATTTTACATTTCAAGTGAGTATATATAGACAGACAAATGGTGTTGCTATCGGTTCACCAGTCTCCTTAATAGTCACCGACCTTTGCATGAATAAATTCGAAAATAACATCTTTTCAAGCATATTCACTCCTAAAATATGGTTAAGATATGTAGATGATACTTTTGTAGTACTAAAACGAGATCTACACAGTTCATTTCTGGAGAAAATAAACTGTGTACCTCCTAAAATGCAGTTCACTTCGGAAGCAGAATCAGACGTCGGTGAACTACCATTTCTGGACTACCTAGTTAGGAGAAGGGAAAATGGACATTTTAGTATGTCATAATCAGGAAGAAAACCCACTCCAATAAATATTTAGACTTCAAATCATCACATCCCATCAGCGCAAAGATTTCAGTTGTGTCAAGTCTTCTTAGACGAGCACACTCTCTCATAACGGATGAGTAAGAAAAAGAAGAAGAAATATCAAACATTACTGAAACTCTCAAGCTAAACAACTACCCAAGAACTTCATCAACAAAATCAACACAGACATTAAGTATGGCTGAAAATGCATTCTGAAAACATGGATATCAACAGTCGTCATTCCACATAGAGGAGAGACGTCAGACGATATCAGAAGAGTACTCACTCAGCTCGACATCAGAGTTTTCTTCAAAACATCAGACACACTGCGAAAAAACCTTGTCCATATAAAAGACCAAATCCCTAAAGATTCTCTATCTAATTGTGTCTATAAAATTAAATGCTTGGAATGTGATGCGATATACATCGGACAAACATCTCGAGAAATCAAAATCAGAAGAAATGTACAACGTAGAGCATCTCTTCGACCACCTAGAAATCCAGTTGAACTAGAAAAACTTGAAAATCATCAGCCATAGGTCTACACGATATAGAATCAGGCCACAAAATTGATTTTCGCAATATTGAAATAATCCAGAAAAACTTCAGAAATCACAAAGAACGTCTAATATCAGAAGCACTTCATATCAAGTGGAATCCAAATTTAATTGAATTTTTGATTTTCCGTCGATTGATTGGACCGATGTGCTCGGTCTCAGCTTGACATGTCGGCACAAGAGGTGGCTCTCGTAGCCCAAGTGGTCTAGTGGATAACGCTTTGGCGTTCGAAACTATGGACACTGGGTTCGAGCTACACAGTATTTCGGCAGAAGTACGGAATTTTCAGCATGTGATAACATTAGCCCAAATTTAGCAGGCCGACCATTGATATCAGGTGTGAGTCGGCCGGGGATCGAACCCGGGACAATGCGCATGGTCGGCGAGCGTTCTAGCCAACTATGCGACTGACGCACAAAAGGTGGAGAGATACCAAATTCTACCATTACAATTTTTAAGAGATAGATATAGCGAGGAATTGAATATCGCAAACTCTGTCTTCAGTAATCACACACAGAGAGTTCATTTTAACTGACTGAAACCCTGAAATACCCGTATTTTGATTTCACAAGTCAACACAGCTAACGACTACAATTCCTTCTTTCAAACAGAACTATTGCTAAACATACCACTCTTGATACAATTTGTAACTTCTTCGACTAATGTCATAAACCTTCAGGGCTGTTGAAGGTGTTTTTTTACAAAAGCTACCCTAGTTTTTAAATTTAAAATGGCTACAGGATGCAGTTTCCTGGAGTTCTAGTGAGAGGTTCATTCAGTGAGGTCCATTCAGATGTCACTTGTGGGGATGGATGTCCCACCGATGACCCTGGTTGGGGTCACGCTAAATCACGAATTGTTAGAAGTAAGAACTCATAGAGTTATTTACACAGAACAGAAAAATGTAGTGCTTACTTCTGACACAACAATTGCGTCATCTGAAAATCCTTATAGTACACAAAACATTGTACAAGTAAAACCACATACATGAAAAACTAATATTGGCGAATTCGATCCCCATGGTCACGATATTCATTTCAATCGATGTGAAAATGACTATCCACTAGCTCATTCCTCACCAAATTCATTTACAAATGGTAAGTATTACTCAGTTTATATTCATTCAAATATATTTTCCCCTACTCGACTAAATTTTTATGATTCATTTCTGCATTTCTGTAGTAAAATTATGATTACAAATAATTGAATTCTTCTTAGAATTCAAAGAAACGGTCTTTTATTGAAGTCAGGGATAATTAAAATCGAAATTATCAACCCACAGTTCTATCTCATACCTTAACAATTAATAGATTAGTGATACTTTCACACATTACATATTACAAAAAGTTATCTAATCGACAAAATGGTATGCTAGCCAATCCAGTCACGTGTGAGGATGGATGTCCCACCGACGATATTGGTTGGGGTCGCGCGAAATCAAGCAATTGCTAGAAGTTAGAATTCATTTACTGACCATGTGAGTCGGTGGCATAGCGGTTAGGACGCTCGCCGACCACGCAATGGTCCTGGGTTCGTTCCTTGGCCAAGAACGCACTCCTTTACCTCTCTAAGCCAAAATAGTGCTGGCAAAGCGGAAAGTTGGGCATGAGGCTAGCAACTCCATCCTGTAAAAATAAACACTGGTACAGAAACTTCAAGCCACTAGCTTGAAGCCCTATGCCCCACTTGGGAACGTGAAGGAAAAAATTTACTGGCCATTGAATCGGGTCCCAGTGGCTGAATGGTATACGAGCTCCTTGGCCTTGTAACCGAAGGTCCTGGGTTCAAACCCTGACAGTGGGTGCGTGCTGCCGATGATTCCTAAACTAGGATGAAGCAGCTGTCCAGTATTCCAGTGCTGGTTTTCAATGATTCTCTAACCGATATCAATCCGTGATCAACTCGTCTGAAACATAACTAATCCTTACAAACCGAACTATAGGAAATTAAAAATGAACTCCTTACAAGTAATATGTGGGTGTATATATATACTTTTTTGTTTCCTTCAAAATTATATAAATTCATCTAAGCTGAACAGTAACAATAATGTAAAAAGAAGAAGATGAAAAAACCATTTAAAGTCGAAATAAGTAAATAAGTAAGCGTCGGTAACACTAATTTCTTTCTGTGTTTTGTCTTCAACTGACAACAACATCGAAACACATGTCTAATAATTTATACAACACATGAAAGTTAACCAGTTTTCAATGAAATCATCAAAATGGAATGTGTAAGGAAACAGGCAAGACATTATAATCAATTAAAGAAGAAAAATCATAAGACAGAAATGATAATTTACTTTTTTACTTCTTATTTTCCTAGAAAGTGGAAAGCAAAAACAATTCAAATTGCTTGAAAGAAAATTATTATTCATCATTTAAACAAAAATATTACGAAGTCATTAAATATCATGCGAGTGGTTTCACATCACACCAGTATCTCAAAACATTCCATTGTATATTTAAATACTTTATTAACTTTAAGTCAGATCTTTTGTAGGCTGAATGCAGTTAATATTTATTTCAGCATTAACCTATTCTTGGTGTAAAAGGTTACTATTACGACGAAGTTGACTGAGGAATACTATGCTGTGATAAATTGTTCGTATTCAAACTATAAGGAAAATAATCAACAGGATGTAAGTAGGTTTCTTTCATAAACAGTTCATCGCTGAACATAAGCTGTTTATTTAAATTGAAGTAGCTTGAAATAATTGGATTTGATGTAAGCGGTGAATTATCTTGCCTGTTGATATCGAATGGGATTAAATTATTCATGTTATTATTCAGACTATCAGATTTAAATGATTGATTATTACTTGGAAATGTCTGTTGTTGTTGTTGTGGGTGGTGGTGGTGAAAATACTCTGGAGGAGATAACCATTTTTCATTTGATACTAAGACTTTTGTTTCATTCTTTTGTTCAGTTTTGCTTGAAATTATTTGATCAACTGTTTGATGCGGATAAAGTGTAGATTCAAAGGAGGTCTGTAACTGAGCGATTTCGATAGGGGATCATTTTCATATGAATATTCATTTCGATTGATTTGTAATTTTTCATCGGATATTGTATCGGTCAGTTGTTTATGATGTGAAAAATCTTCCATAATGGAAAGATCTAATGATTCATTAGTATCTTCGGGATCATTTGAACAGTCACTATCCGTATCACCTGAAAACATCAGAATTGATTTTTATAACTGACATATATGTATATATAAAGTATGTTAAATAAATTTCAATACAAGTGGAAAAAAGTCATTGATTTGAACCCCTTTATATCAGATATAGCAGAGAATTTGCACTGATTTGCATGGCTGATGTTATAGACGAAGAAAACGAAATATTAATGAATACTCTTGTTGAAAATGGATATCCTTTAAAATTTTTTAAACAGGTGTAGAAATCAATTAGTCTTTGAACCTACAGTCTATACCACCCCTAAGAAAAATGTCTTCATCAAATTACCATATAACGGGGAAACAAACAGTAGGATTTTGAGACTATTATCGCCGATGATTTTCCTGACTGCAGTAGATTGGATAATGTGACAGACAACGGGCAATGAAGAAACAGGCATAAAATGGACTCACACAAAAAACTCGGAAAATCTGGACTTCGCCCGCGATGATACATGTCTGATTTCCTACAAACTGGAAGATATGCAAGTGAAAAGCAACAAGTTGGCACAAGAAGCATCAGAGATAGAACTTCAGGTGAACGTAGAGAAAACAGAGGTGGCCAACAGCGACAAACAACAACAGACAACAATCAGCCAGAATAAATGGGAGGAACCTGAAAGAAACAACCTCCTTTACCTACCCACCTACCTGGGAAGCATCGTTTCAACTACAGGCCGACGGAACTGACGAGGATATCAAAACCAGAAACGGAGAAGCAAGATAAGCTTTCATTACTCTCATGTTTGTGTGGAGGTCAACAGCACTACTCAGCATCAAATAAAATAAGATCCGGATTTTTAACTGTAATGTGAAGTCAGTCAGTGCTACTATATGGATCAGAGACTTGGCGCCACATCATGAAGAGCACCTCAAACAAACTACAGACCTTCATCAACAACTGTCTTCGCTCAATACTCAAGATCAGATGGCCGGCCAGAAAAGATCAGCAACAGGCAGTTCTAGCAATAAGCGAACCAACCACGAACCGATAATGCAACAAATAAGCAGGAAGAAATGGAGATGGATTGGCTGGCCATACTCTGAGGAAATCATCAAGTAACGTCACTAGACAAGCCATTGCTGGAGTGGAACCCGAATGGGAAGCGGCGAGTTGGTCGTCAGTGCGAGGGTGACATGGAGGTGGTCATGAGAAGAGGAGATGACTTGAAGCCAGGTGAAAACTCTAGCAGAGAATCGAACGCAATGGAGACGCAAGGCTGAAGCCCTATGCTCCTCTAAGAACTAAAGGAAATAATGATAATCTTGAGACTAATATTGAATTCGATCATCCGTAGAACCTATTATGCACCTCGGCTTGTAATCATCGAAAGAGCCAAAAATATGCTCCACTACAAAACTCGAAAGTGCACAAGTGATTATGTCACATCCCACACTATTTTCCAATTTTCGTGTGTGTATAGCCACACATACATAGGGAGGAGTAATCGTGCTTTGCATGTGACGGTAGGAGAGCATATCCCGAAATGGCTGGAAAAACAAATGAATTGTGGAAAACCAATAGACGCAGGTGTCGGACTACCAACTTCGTCTGTAGCTAAACACCTAATCGAGGCGAACCATCAGACTGATGTTAACTCAGCCTTTAAGGTCATCTATAAAAATGATCAAATACGCTGAGGCTATAGCTATTCATAAACTTAAGCCCTCTCCCTGTGTATTCAAAAGCAGTTTATTACTACTCTTAACCTACCTTGGTAATCCTTATTTGATTGGATCACCAAGCATTGAGTTAGTCATTCTTAAATCCTTTTTTTGTCATTCCATTATGGGTAAATTTTCTTTTGATAAAGTCTCACAGCGTTATACAGTAATGTTTACTGATGACCACGTTTCGAGCACAATTCATTGCTCATAATCATATCAAGGTAATCACACGACTTCCTAAATTCATTCATATACTTCGATTGTTTTTCTCTTGATTTTTACTTGATTTCTCTGGTAATAGTATTTTCCATATTTCAGGTATGAATGACGAGTCATTCCTATTGCATGTGTTGGGTGTAGACTCGATGAACAAGGATTCAGTAATCGACCTCTCTCTCTCTCCACCTACCTAGATTACTTTTTAGGATTTTAACCCTCTCCCACCCTATTGTGTGGTTGTGTGTTAATGCATGCATTGCAATCACTGAGCTTTTTTCTAAATTACTTATCTTTTCAGGGTCAACCATTCTTACCTTGGTTAAACTCTTATGTTCTGACAATCTGACTGCCTGCGACCTACTAGTTTGACCTATGTAGTTAACCTCAGAGTCATTGTTGGGTATTTTGTAAATTATATTATTTTGTCTAATTGGTTCAACTGGGTCCTTTAACCTACACAGCTTGTCCCTGAGTGAGTTTGTAGGTTTAAATGCCACCCTAATTCCTATTTTATTCAGAATCCTACGTAGTGTCTCAGATGTCCCCTCTTTATATGGCATAACTGTAGATGACTTATATTATCTCTTATTTATGTTATTATTACTAGTTTCACAATTATTTTTATTTTTCATTTGGCCTTTTTTGATCTTCCTAATGAATTTTAAAGAATAGTTATTTAACACCAAAGCCTCTTCTATCTGTTTTAGTTCATCATTTAGGTCTTTTCTTGTGCTACTTAGTGCTACTGCTCGGTTTGTTAAACACTTAACTAAGCCTGCCTTAACAGTCAACGGATGAGATGAATTAAAGTTTAAGTATCTATTAGAATGAGTTGGTTTTCTGTACACACTAGTGTGTAGTTTACCTTCTTCTATTCTTTTTATCTTACAATCTAACATAGCTGATTCTCTTTGTTCATTTTCCGCTTCAAATGTGCTCGAAACGTCAACAGTAAACATTACTGTATAACACTGTGAGACTATCAAAAGAAAATTTACCCATAATGGAATTACACTCTGCCACAGTGCACAAGTTTTATTCTTATAACTTTTTTTGTCACTTTGTTTAATTTACTTGCCCTTAATTTTTTCATATATATTGACTTGACAAGTACATGTGTGATCAGATTGTTCGAAATGTATAACGCAAATACATCACACATTTTACAGGTAATCTCCGTCTCCTCATAACACTATCCAAATTTAGAAAAGAGACTAATTGTTTTAAATAGAATGGAAGAAGTATTGAATGGTTAACATTTTAAGTGCATTTATATTCTTCACGAGGATATCAAGGTGGCATGATTGTGTCAATAACAAATTGTTCTTAGATAAGACTATCTAATATGAAATTATATCTCGCTAAACTGTATCAATCCTATTCTCACAAAGACTCCATCTTAGATTCTGAATGCTACAGAATGTCAATTACTTCACTAAATGAAAAGTGATCGCAGAATAACAGTAAAGACACTTCTAACCAACGTTATTCTATGAGGTACTTCACCTGTGTAGTTTGATACAAGTGGACCTTCTTCCAACTGAGATATGGTATATGCTTGTGTGAAATATGATGAAATTCTCTAGGACTAACTATTTAGTAATGCAGGCGAACTACACGTATTACTCTCTGCGGGACCGAAGGTGATCCCCTGAGTGAAAGATGAAGTACCTAGACTAGCCAATTTAAACTGTATCTATCAATTCAACTGCGCTTGTGGAGAGAGTTTTATTGGTCGTTGCTTTGGGAACTTGATTTTTCGTGCTCAAGGACATCTTTCATTATGGCTAAGTAAAGGTGTAGTTAAAACCATTAACAGTTCGATATTGGACCATCTGGTGCACACCAGCCACAAAGCCAGCCAGCGGGGAAGAATCCTTCGCTATAATCTACCGGGTGCCTAATAAATTGCCGAAATCATCGAAGCACCACATGCACCACCAAACAGCACAGGCTATTGCAATTCGCCTCAAACAACCAGCGCTCTGTGTTCAAAAGAAGCAAGTCCAGCTAGGCACTACTACTGCCCTGGCTGGCCTTCAGTAGAGACTATAAATTCATGAATTCGTAATATCATCTTTCCTAATTTTTCTGACATTCAGTTTATTTTACGTCGATGCTATTGAGCTGTAATCTATCTATATTATCGATTCGATGTTATTTAAACAGCATTAATGTTCACAACACTAACTCATCCATTCGCCATAATGTATATATAACTGGTAACGTCTCTGACTGCAGCACTGGGTGACGCGGGTTCGAATCTCAGAAGGGACATGAGTTCCTTCAAGGTTGCAGATACGCCTTGCTGACGAGTGCCAACTAGCATGAAACCTAGGTCCAAGGCTTCCTGCAGATTGCCTACAACCACCTAATACCATCAAATCAGTGTGCACCGTCATGGCCAGCTAGCTAGAATGGCGGTCACATTACAGCCTGACTGATAGAATTCAGTCTACACCAATCAGAGGACTAGACGCATCACATTAGTTACAAGTGTCAAATCAAAATATAAATGTAGAGCCTGATGATGAATTTATCGAAAAAAGTACTCTTTGTTCAGAATCCATTCTTTTGAATATTTAGTAATGTCTTAAATATTTATGAAAGATGTTTATCTTACTGTCGTGTACAAAATATGCATCGATTTACTCTTGTAAAAGTTATACAGAAACTGTCGTCTTATTTTACCGTCAAAATATGCAATTCAGTAAGGAGATGTATACACTTCTACCAGTGGAAGATGTCCACAGAAGACTGAACTGAAATGCTGACACATACATGTACACTTAAACTTAAGTGAAAAGTCATATTATGGATAGAACTTAGATCATATATGAATTTCCTTTATAAAAATTCATGTATCTTATCTCTATATTATTATTATTTATTATTGTTCCCTTGGGTTCCTAGTGGAACATAGGGCTTCAGCTAAACGTTTCCCTCCACTTGCTTCTGTCTTCTGCTGTACTTTACACCTGCATCCATGTTAGTCCATACTCTTTCAACTCCTCTTCACACGATCTCCTCCATGTCACCCTTGCACTGACGATCCACTCGCCGCTTCCCTTTCGGCCTGGTTCCACTCGAGAAATGGCCTGACCCGCGCGCGATGTCAACCAGCGGCCTCCTCAGCGAGCGAGTCTCCAATCAATCTCCACTTTCTCCTGCATATTTGTTGGTTGGCGATTGTTTCTTCTTTTGTTTGTTTGTTCCCAGCCATAGTTTCTTGTTGGTGATTGTTTCCGGCCCGGCCATCTGATCTTCAGTATAGAGCGAAGACAGTTGTCTGTGGGTAAAGGTCTGCAATAGCCTGTTGGAAATATTCTTTGTGACCCGCCCACCAAGTTTCTGATCCGTATAGAAGAACTGACTGACTTGACGTTGTTTGTATTGAAAATCCTACCGAATTTTGTTGTTGGTGCTGGCTGAGTGACGAAGATTTCCAGATTGGTTTCAAGTTGATAAATGTGTGTGTTTCTCGCCTTCCCGATTCTCGCTCGATTTGACATCGTCGTCCGTTCCGACTGCGTGTAGTTGAGACAATGCTCCCTAGTTATCTCTATAAGTATAGATAAATTATCCAGTAATCAAACGACTCAAAATATCTAGTCCTTCTAAATCACCTTTGCTAATAAGAACTGAATAGCCTGAGCATATAATAGATTGTAGACTTACTTAAACCAGAACGTTGGAATTCATCTTTAGATAGGTATTCATCACCACTAGTCGAATCATCTAATGTTACAGATGTATCTCCACAATACTGTGTGGAATGCTTGTCTAAATCATTTGAACCTGTTGAAAATAAATGAGATCCATTCATGCAGACAGGTGTATTAGTATTGCTTATACTTGTTGATGTACTGTTGACTAACAGTGAATCAGAGATTGACCATAAATTTCTTCCAGCATCTTTTTTCAATCGTTTTTCTTTTGCTCTAAAAAGAAAAAGAATTTGAAGAAATTAAGTACTGGAATTTTGAAGAATGCAAGACAGAAAAGATTCCTGGTGACAATATTCACTACAGTCTTTATCACCTCACCGTCTTTTAGTGTTGTTCTGAGCTTGATAGTTTAACTGGAAAGTTGTCTCTGTCCTTCTGGATTTTGTCTAGAAGGATAATGCAAGCGTCATAATTAAACCATCTAGTACAGTGGATACAGTAACATCAAAATCATCCACAGGAACTACAAATTTTCTGATAGTATAAAAAATGCTAAACTTCCTCCATATTGATTTGTTTATTAGATATATCACACAGTGTAACAGTATTATTTACTGGATGATGTTTCGTACACAATTTGCTGTTCATAATCATATCAGTTTTAATCACACGACTTTAAAACTTGAGTTTTATAGTTTTCTATAAAACTATAAATAATAATAAGGGTAGTAGCTAAGACTGTCAGTTAATTGAGACAGTGTTACCATCAACTACAAATAAGAGACAAAAGCAGAGCCGATTATTTCGCCAACAACATAGTAATTCATAGTTTTCGCAGTTAACATTCTCTCTATCGTATAGAACATGGGCCAAATAATGTATCGGTGAGTTCCTATACTTGGCAGTACGAGCATATAATCTCTTGTACTGACTTCTAGTTCTACCAGATGATATACAAGGGGAGAGTTGAGAATAGAGAGGGTGTTGAGAAACAGACAATAGTGACTTATACCATTTTTCTCATGGGTTCAGATGTACATCAACTAATATAGTGACAAGCTAAGTTTCACACTACTTGCCCTATTGATAACCTTTAATACTGTTCTCAAAATTACATAGTCTTTTCTCAGTAAACCTGGTAACACTAAATGGGAGCAGTAGAGTACAACAGGGAAGTTAATACGAGTCGGTGGCACAGTGGTTAGGACTCTCGCCGACCATGCACATGGTCCGGGGTTCAACCCGCACCGACGCACACCCGATATCTATGGTCGGTCTGCAAAATTTTGGGCTACCGATATCCATGCTGAAAATTCCATACTTGTACCGAAAATGCAGTGTGGAATCAAGCTGTAAATCAAAAATAAAAATAAATAAAATAAAAAATAACAAATTGTAAAAGCAAAGGTTGAGTGATTCCAGTTTGTTTTAGCTTCTTAATGCAGTAGCTTAGACGGGACATTTTTTTGCAGATCGGTGAAATATGGGATGATCAAGTAAGGTCAGAGGATAGAACTATGCTAAGATATTTTGTGTTAGACCTAGTTTCTACTATAGCACCCTCTATGCTACAAGCATTATGTGAACAAACCAGTTCTTGTAGATCAGGTTTGTGACTAAAGGTGAAGTTAATAGTCTGGCATTTCGAGGGACTCAATTTAAGACCATGGTCAACTTAGACCACTGATTGATGTCTGACAATGAGATGCTCACCAGCGACTTACCCTACTCAGGTAGGTAGTTACCTGGGGTTCTAGTGAGAAGTCGTGATCAGTAGGGTGCAGTAGGTCGGGAGTGAGGACAAATACTCGCCGAAGACATTGGCTAGCGGTCGCACTATGTCATGAATCGGCAGAAGTTAGAATTCATTGTTCATTGGAAGAGGTCCCAGTGGCTTAATGGTATACGAGCTCGCCTTGTAACCAGTATATCCTGGGTTTGAATCCCGGTGGATGCGTACTGATGAGGAGTCCGAAAGTAGGACGAAACGGCTGTCAAGTGCTCCCAGGTCTTCCAATGGTTCTCTAACTAATGTGAGCTCATGATGAAATCCTGTAACCAACCAAATCCCTACAAACCAACACTAGAAAGCAATTAAGTTTGCAAAAGTCTGATTGGGACTTGACAGGAAGCGAGACGGTCAGATCGTCAGAGTATTTGACGAAGTAGATTTCATTTGAGAGAGGTAAGTCACATAAGAAGAGTGAAAAAAGAAAAGGAGAGAGAACAACGACCGGAGGAACACCAGTTTCAGGAAGCAAGGTAGAAGAAGATTCACTCTTATATAGAATATACTGTATTCTATTTGAGAAGTAAGAATAAAATCAGTTAACAGCCCAGGGCTCCATATTTGTAAAGGAAAGCTTATTCAATAAAAGGCATCTAGGTACTGAGTCGTACGTCGGTGGCACAGCCGTTAGGACGCTCACCAACCATGCACATGATCCGGGGTTCGGTCCCCGGCAGGCGCACTCCTTTACCTCGCTAAACCAGAAATAATGCTGGTAGGGAGGAAAGATTGGGTATGAGGCTGGCAACCCCATCCTGTAAGAATAAACACTGCTACAGAAACTTCAAGTTTCTAGCTTGCAGCCCTATGTTCCACTGGGAACTTGAAGGAAAAAAAGGTACTGAGTCAGAAGCAGATGTGTATTCGAGGAATGTACAATATATATATATATATATATATATATATATATACGGACCCTTTGTCTAGAGAGGAGACGATGTTATAATGGTATACAGCCGCATCATCTAGAGTACTTCTGCCCTACCTATAAGCAAACTTTTTAGGATCATTAAAACTTTATAAAGAGAATTCGTACAAATGAATTTGTGTAACCACGGAGCACTCTGAATTACTTACGCGAGAATTTTGAAATTAACACTAAATTTTACATAAATTCCTGTTTTGCAATTGATGATTCTAACTATTCTCTGAAATCTCAGAAGGGACATGAATTCTTTCAAGATTGCAGACGCGGTTCTCTGACGAATACCAACAAGTATGAAACCTAGGTTCAAGGTTTCCCGTTGATTGCCTCCAAACAACTAACAACCATTCAGATTTTTATTCTTAGTCAACCTGGAAGGAATCTGACATTACCCTTGTAGCTAAACATGTCATAAAGTTACATAGAATTTATTTGATAAATTTATCTGACGTTGTATCTCCACAATATATAATGGCATATGTTTATATTATCAGAGATGGAACGCTTTCCAGGTAATGTTGTAACGTTATAAAACGAGAGACTTGGTAACGGAACTTAATTTGGAATTTAACATCTCTATGTATGGTGGAATTGTGAACATATTATATGGAAATCGTCATTTGCTACTTTTGCCTTTCATATTGTGTTTCTTTGTCCTCTTTAATTGCACCCCATCCCATGTTTTGCCACAATACTGGTTCATCTCTTCACTTTGACTTGAAATCTATCTCCCCGCTATTTGGTATTTTGTGTCGATTAACATGTTTTTATATACTATTGATCAATTTTGTCAGTAGCACACGCCTTAATTCCAGAAATAAGTTTTACAAGTTATTCATCAACTTAAAATATAGGTAAATGATAAATCTACGACACTATATCTGAGCAAACAGTAGAAGTTCTCAAACTTTAATTTTAAAGGTGAGTTAATTATTATTTTGTAAAGTGGCTTAATATCCAGAAATTCTATAAAATAAAAAATATATTTCAACAGTTTATCGTACGTGTATTGGGAAATATTTTTCATGATGTGTTTCTTACACTTGTAACTAACCTACTGCATTTACCTTTTTTACACTATAGACGACAATCTTCTCTTTTATGGTTATTCGATGGTTGGAGACAGTTGGCCACAGGAAGCCTTGCTTCATCTAGGTCTCGTCCTGACTGACATCCAACAAGTCAGCAAAGCGTATCTACAACCTTGAAGGAACTGATGTCCCCTCTGAGATTCAAACGCGTATCACCCAGTAAATTCTACAGTCAGAGACGTTATCATTGAGCTGTGTGTGTGACATGTATGCAGGAAGATCAATTTCTTATGTTTCCGAAACTAAGCTTCTCGAGGAAAGTCCTTGTTCATGTACTTTATGCTTGCGTAGATTGACTAAGTCATCTTAGGTGTGGACATGTTTCACATTTGGCTGTCATCATATGAATCAGAATATTTGAAATAGTTGGATAAGTTAACTTGAACAATATGCAGTGAATATAGGAATAAGTGATATTGGAACTTATTGTTCGTCCCAGGAAATGATAATTACAACCTTTCCTGGCCAACAGCAACAGGAACAACAACAGACAACAACAACCAGCCAGAATAAATGGGAGGAACCTGAAAGAAACAACCTCCTTTACCTACCCACCTACCTGGGAAGCATCGTTTCAACTACAGGCCGACGGAACTGGAGAAGATATCAAAGCCAGAAACGGAGAAGCAAGACAAGCTTTCATTACTCTCATGTCTGTGTGGCGGAGGTCAACAGCACTACTCAGCATGAAATTGAAAATAAGATCTGGATTTTCAACTCCAATGTGAAGTCAGTCAGTGCTACTCACTATACGGATCAGAGACTTGGCGCCACGTCATGAAGAGCATCTCAAACAAACTACAGACCTTCATCAACAACTGTCTTCGCTCAATACTCAAGATCAGATGGCCGGCCAGAAAAGATCAGCAGCAGGGAACTCTGGAAATGAGCGAACCAACACAACAGGAACCGATTGTGAAACAAATAGCCAGGAAGAAATGGAGATGGATTGGCTGGCCATACGCTGAGGAAACCATCAAGTGACATCCATCACTAGACAAGCCATTACTGGAGTGGAACCCGAATGGGAAGCGGCGAGTTGGTCGTCAGTGCGAGGGTGACATGGAGGAAGTGATGTGAAGAGGAGATGAAAGCGTGTGGGCAGACTTGGAGCCAGGTGAAAACTCCAGCAGAGAACCGAATGCAATGGAGACGCGTGGCTGAAGCCCTATGTTCCTCAAGGAGTTAAAGGAAATAATAATAATGAATAGATAATTCTCTTATCTATAGGCTGTTACTTTACATTATGTATACCATTACTAAGAAAACAGGCAAACTTTGATATTTTTACTCTTTATCATTGTGAAATCTGTTTTTTTCTACATATAATTTAGCATTACTTACAACCGAACACGGATTTCACACAATAGTGAGCATCATGGGAATGGAATACAAATTGTTCTTTATTATAAAAGAGCCCTTATTTGAATGTAGTTGTATCCTAAATTTCAAAACTCAGCACTCCCGT